TATCTAATGGTTTATATATTATTATTGTATTGTATATATATGTTATTTAATTTAAGACATTTTATACCACTGAAAAGCAAGGTAAAAAAGAAAACAATGTAAACATAATAAATTAATCCGCCAACAGCTAGCTATGAAATTAGAAAAAATGTCGCGGACCATGATAGAATAAAAATTTTTGAGAGGAATTTTTATCAACATTTTGTAAAATGTGAGTATAGTATAAGCATTTTCTAAAAAGATGTAATATTTTATTTTACTTAAATTTCTAATACTGTTAATAGTATTTACTTTATAATATTGTTATTTTGAAATCCTTGTTTTCTAAACTATTTTTATTATATCCCAATAAGCAAATAAATAATAAAATTGATAAGATCTAAATATTTTGTTGTTTAAATATTATTAATGTCTGTAGGAGCATGCAAGACCTAAAATAATTTAATATTTGTATTGTAACTAATAATATTCTAAAAAATGACTAAAATACTTTTTAAGGAATTTGATTTTAAAGCAAAGTGTTTAAATTTGCTTTAAATCTTACAAAACAAACTGGGGCAGTACTTCAACAATAACCAGCCACCTCAAAACTAAACATGAAGCATCATGGAATGAGCATCTTTTGAAAACCACTGAAGTACTTAATAAACAAAAAATTGGTAAAGAAAAATAGAAAACAACTACAATTGAAGTTTCATTATGTAGTGTTAGAGCGCTCGCAAGAGGTTCCGAGTTCGATCTTCACTACGTCCTTGGTAGTACCGTGATGAACTCGTTTCTCTGCACAGCGGCCTTGTTTGTCGAGGACAGTGTTTCAGAGTTAAAAGAGGGTTTCAGAGTTGAAAGGTTTCAGTGTTTCAGAGTTGAAAGAGGGTTATAACCACAAATAAGTAATCTCCTTGTCTGTAGTGGCCTTCTCAGCCTTGGGGAGTGAAATAAAAAAAAAAATTAAAAAAAATTTTTTTTAATAGAAATATGGGTTAAATGATCCAAAGCGATTAATAAATTTTGTTAAATCTAAGTTTGATTTAGATTTAACAAAATTTATTTGCAAGCTTGTTTTACCTTACAAAACTTTAGATAATGATGGAGCACCATCATTAGAATTTATTGATGAAGTAAATAGCAAATTTTTTGTCAAATCTGCATCAACAATTAGACGTCTATTATTAAAACTTCCTATGAAAATGTAAAGGAGGATTGTATGTATTAAAAGGTAAAGGAGGGATTGCAAATAAAATTTCTCAAAGATTTTCCAAAAGTAGCAAGAGTTAGTTTTACAACTCTGAAAAAGTTCGAACAATGATTCCTAAATGAGTTTTACATTTCATTGCATTAGTTCAGACTTTGGCAAGTTCTCCCATTACTTGGCCACCATTTACTGGATATACTAAAGCAATACTGTACAAATTTAGCATCACCACACATTGAAGTGTTTTCTCTACAGCCAAGCCTCAAGATACTTGTGTAGAACTTGGAATTAAGCCCAGGTTATTGATTGTTATATGCATAAAGTCAGTCCTTGAAGTCATAGATGCAATAAAAACACTTTCAAAAACCAATGATGGGTTTGAGGTCATACACCTCATATGATCAATGGAAGACATTAGAATACAGCATTCCAATTTCTTGAAAATATTTACAATATTTCAGTAACCTTATCAGCCGATAAAAGACCAACAATCCAAGATGTGATACCTGAATTATATTCTTTGCACCAAGAGCTTCTTTCCCATCAATATCACAAACACAAGCCAACAAGAATATTTAAAAAAATGGTGATTTATGAACTGCAGGAAAGATTTTTCCTTTTAATGGTGCTGAGCAGCTGACTAATCGTTTTGCAAAATTTTTTAATGTATTTAAATTTTTCAGTTACAAAGGCCATTTGATTAAAAATAAAAAATGCAATCAAATAAGAAAAGAAATATTGACTTGAGAAAAAGAGAAAAAAACACGAAAAAGCTTCAATGATTGGCAACAAAACTGACTATCAAAGTAATAAATATGTTAAAGTTAATCACCACTAACTGCTTAGAAAAAGACTAAAACAAGATATTCCAGCACGCAGTGCTTCAACAATGACTAAATTGTGATTTATATTAATCAGTGGCGGTTGAAAATGTTCAAAAAATTGTTTATATAAAAGAAAATATTAAAAAAATAAAAATTAATTTTTAGCTTTCTTTGGTATTTTTAAAAATCTCTAATTCTAAATTTATTGAATAAATGACCTCTAAAACTTTGTTTTTTATTTAACCGAAACCGAACCAAACTGACAAAAAAAAATTTAAACAGAACCAAAAAAAACTGGGTCGTTGGTTTTATTTTTAAAACCAAATCAAAAAATTTACACTGAAAAAAATGCATGACATTATAATGGAACCCAAACTCCTAACACAAGTTGTGTTCATATTAAAGATAATGTTAAAAAAAGAGGTTTGAACCAAGTTTTTTTTTTGATTAAAAATAAATAATGAATGCATACTGAGAAAAACAAATGTTGTTGTTTTAGCTAAAGCTCACCTTTTTTCCAATAACTCAGGGTCTTCAAGCTATATGTTGCAATCTACAGATTTTGGCAATTCCTTTGAAGCGCGTTTAATTTATAAAAGTTTTAGTATTTGATGTCATGGTAGACAAATGAAACTCTGGAAATATTTTTATTTATTTTTATTCGAAATTTTTTTGATTATTTGTTTAGTTTTTTTTCTTTCTATTTTTAACATTTAAAAAGATATTAAAAACCTCAAATATTTTATGCTATAAATTGTTATTGCGCCATATATTTAATGTTTATAAATTATGAATATTTACTCAATCAAGACTTTGATAAAAAATTGTTTTACATTAATTACCCATATAAAATTAGTAATAGCATTTTTATTTAGTTAGACGATATTTTGTTTCAATTCGCTTTGCATAAAGTTCAGAAAGTCAAACAAAAAAAATTAGTTTGAATAATCACATCGAAATATATTTAAAACAAATTATTTTAATGACGGGGGTTCTAAAGTTTTTTATAACAAATGTAGGTAAAAAATAAATAACTAAATAAAAAGTTTAACATTAAACATCATTTCTTTATTATATTACAACTGTAAACATTGAAATATTAACTTGAACTAAATTTACTTATTATTTAGAACGACTAAGCAATAAAAACAAAATGCCCCTAAAATTATGCGATATTGTGTTGTTTATTTGATAATTGTTGTTGGTAATGTTGCTTATGTTGATTATTTTCATTAATATCAAAATAGTCCCAGATTAATCTGTTAGTTGCTTTGCTCATTGTTGCTTTATTTTTGCGCCACTCGTTCTTTTTTTAGATAATAAAAATAAAAGTTTAATAGTAACTTTTCGTTGAATAAATGAGAATTGGAAGAGAATATTGCTTGAAAATTTGTATTTGTTAATTGTGTATTAAAAAAATTTTAATTTTTAATGTTAAGAGGCAAATGCCAAATATGACACAAATTGGGAAATACCAAATATAATATGTTTTTTAATGTGCGTTATGACATTTTGACAATTTAAATTACCATCTATCTTGAATTATTGACATTAATTAATGTGTTAATTATTGCGTTATTTAATAACAAATTTGTCCGTATTTTTGTTAAATATTAGTTGTAAAAAATAGGGGAAAATATACGAACTTCATATTTTTAATTTGATGGTTATAAAATATTGAACAGTAAACTTATAATAAAAATTTGTAATGCTAACTTGTGTTGCTATTAATTGCACTTTTAATACAAAATCAGGATCTCACATATCCTTTCACGAATTTTCATATCTGATATTACTGTCAACTGTATTGTTTAGTGTATTCTTGTACTTTTTTTTTCATAACCATAACAAGTTCTAATTGGTATGGAGTTGCTGACATTTTAAAAATTTCATTACTAAAAATCAAATGTAAAATAAAATGATATTTCTTTTTTATCCGTATCCAATTCAGCAAATTTAGCAATTTAAATTAAATCAGCGTAATCAAAAAATTTTTATAATAAAAAAAATTTACAATTCATCAAATATCTCTAATTAATACTGTCAGTTTATGAAAGTAATTGTTAATAAATACTTTTTTTCGACGGGAAAACAAAAAATTGTCATAGCATAAAAATAACCAGAGAAGTAAGAAAATAGTTCCCATTGTTTAAATAAAAATAAGTAAGAGTCAGAATATATAATACTGCGCTCTCTTGCACAAAAACGAGAGGTTGTGTATAAAACGTTCTATATAATGTAAAATACTCGTATGAAAATCATAAGATTGGTAAGTAAAGTTTTAGTATTTGTTTTAATTTAAAAACAATAGAAATTTAAGTAAGATATCTGTAAAAAATAAGTTGCTCCTATAAAAGAAAAATAATTTATTGTTTTTACTTTTTACAAAATTTTTTTTGTGATGTTTGGAAAAATAATACAAATAAATTTGTTTTGCTGTATGTTAAAAAAAAACTATATCGTACTTTTTGAATTAAAAGTAGAAAAACGCAGCTTTGTGTAATTACATTTTTCATTTGTTAAAAGCCTACGGTGACGTCAAATACTAAAACTTTTATGAATTAGACGCACTTCAAAGGAATTGCCAAAGCATGTACTTTGTGACATAATTTGAAGACTCTGAGTTATTGAAAAAAATGAAGAAGGTGAGCTTCGGCTAAAACAACAACATTGGTTTTTCTCGGTATGCAAACATTATTTATTTTTAATCAAAAAAACTTGGTTCAAACCTTTTTTTTTAACATTATCTTTAGGATCCCTTTAATAGGTGAGCAAAGTTAGAAATGATAAAACAAAATTGAACTTTAAAAAAAAAAAAATCAAATCTTTTATGTTTTTATAAAGAAAATGTCAAGACAGAATATAAAAAACAAGGCATGGACAGGGTATAGTTTGGAATTTGTTGTATTGCTTTAAGGGTCACAAATCAAATTAATATACTGTCTACTAAACAAATAAAAGGTATTTGTTTTTTTATTACTAACCTGAATTTAAAGTCTTGAAGGCTGAACTGATACCATCAGAAAGGTTGAGCTGACCTGTGGGTTCAGCTATCTTGTTAATATTATATTTCATTCTCTCTTTGTTAAACTTTGTGGCTTGGATGAGAAACTTTATGCATGGCGTAACATAAGTAGTACTTTTGCCAACTGTCAAAACATTGAAGTAATCATTTTCCGTCAAAGTATCTATTAATGCTTTTGCTGTAATTCCAGCAATAACTAAAAGAAGCAGTGAAATAACAACGGATTATTTAATTTCGGACACTGCAAAAGTTATAAAATGAACAAAAAGAAAAACACAAAAAGCTAAAAAAATTATTAATTCATTTAAAGAATTAATTATGAAATTAAAAAAAATTAAACTTTTACAATCTTAATTTATTTACAAGACAATAATTTATACACACATATTGCATATATTGCAGGCTTGGCAAGAATAAAGTGGAATTGAACGCTATTGCTGACCATGCAAATGATTTTTTTTTGTTGACAACTTGACCACAACTGTTTAGATGTTTGATAATTGTTAATAATTTAAACATTTCATAAATGCGCTGAAAAAAGAAATGCTAAGCTAAACTTTAACTAGAAAGAAAATATTGAAAAAAACTAAAGAATAAAAAAAAACAATTCTTTACGGAAAAAAAAAAGCTTTAAAATAAAACTCAAAAAAAAGCAAAGCGAAATTTGCTTTTTATTACGTTTTTCATTGCATTTGAAATAAATTACTTTTAAAACTTATCTTTTGAAACATTTTATTAAATTTACACGAAATGCTTTTACAAATTACTTCTAATAAATAAAATTACGTTTAATAAATAAACAAATTTTATTTAAATTATTGAAAAGTGAAACTAAATTATTAAAAATAGCAGGGCCGACAACTTGGGTTTCAAAGTGGAGGGGCACAATCGTTAATTTCTAAAAGTCCTCTACACCTAGAAATGTCTTTTAAAAAAATTAAATTGAATTAAAAAAAAAAAAAATGGAGGAGAAGGAAGGGGCAGTGCCCCCCTGTGCTGTCGGCTCTGAATAGAAACAACAACAAACCAAAAAAGTAATTAAATCATTCCATTGCATTAGAAAGATTTAATTTAACTTAATCATAATTTAAAGTGACATAATTTAAATAATCTTTTAAAAGATTTTTAGAAAGACATGGAAAAATACTAAAAAAAATTTAAATATATACGTTTTAAATTTACACATTTATTTTAAATGATCAATTTAATCTTTACAGCCTTTGCCTTAAATAAAAACTTTTAAAAAAATCAACAACTTTTTTTTTTTTAACATCTTTGCTCCCAACAAAGCTGCAAGCAACCACTATTAGAGCTGGAAGTTAGGGGTTGTCTATAAAGTACGCACGCTTTTTTTTAGCCAACTCCCTCCCCCCGCATTTTACCATACGCTTTTTTGAGTGCTCTCTACCTTCCTAAAAGTACTAACGCTTTTCACCTACCAACCCAATATCCAACATTTATGATGTTTAATTTAGTGTCTCCATACTATAATAATTGACCTACTACCCCCCCCCCCATCTCATATACGCCATTTGCAGATCCCCTCTTCCTCTCCGAGCGTTTGTACTTTATGGACAATCCCTTACTGGAAGAGAAAAGGTGAAGATTGTAGAGCAACATAATGATTGACAGACAACTTAAGAGATTGCAAATTATATGAATCAGAAAAGCAAGATGAAGGAAGCAAATTTCAAAGAACTGATTTTCTAGAAAAAAAACTAGAGGAATAAGAGTTTTTGGAGCACTTAATAGCAGCCACAAAAAAAAGATGAGACTTAATTGAATGACGAGTAACACAAGAATGAGTTTTAGTAGATGGCACAGAAGACGCTAGTTCTATAGAGCATCGTCCATTATAGTATTTGTAGAAAAGAGAAAGAGAAGCAACATTACAACGATGTGATAATGGTTGGAGGTTGGCTGCAAAAGCAGGTCCAACTATGTTTAAAATGCATTTTTGCACCTTGTCTAAAAGAGACAGGGCATCACTAGAAGATCTGCCCCAGATATGACAACAGTATTCTATACAAGGCTGGATTTGAGATTAATAGAGATAGAAAATAAATCCGGAGTAAGAAAGTATTGAGCTCGATAACAAGATGCAACCTTAGCAGATGCTAGTTTTGCAACAGATTTGATATATAGCTTCCAAGAAAGATCAGAAGAGTTAGTCCTAGAAGATGAAGGGTAGATGACTTAAAATTAAAAGTTATTCATAATATAACAATTTTTTTTATTGCATTCAAATTACTAAAACATCAAAAAAGCTGTGGTCAAATTGTAAAACAAGCATGATCAGTTACAGAGTGCAATCGTGCGCCATTCCTGTCCAAGCCTGATATTGTAAATGCATAAATTATTTATTTTGAAAATATTTAACTTAAACATTTTTTTTATGAAACTCAATAAACAAACATTTAGTTATAAATGTCATGTTAAATAATTTTTACTTATGAAACATACAATTAAAAAACATCAGCCATATATATTATATGCATATTAGGGTGATTCAAAAAAAGTCATGGGTATTTCATGTATATTAAATGCATACTAGGGTGTTTCAAAAAAAAAGCAATGTCTGATAAAAAAAAAAAAAAACTTTAGCTTATTATCTGCTCAAACCATAATATGTATTGATGATTTTTTGTTTTTACTTTTGAAAATCTTAAATCTCAAGGGATAAAAGGGGCAATTTTTAGGGTGTTTTGTACCATTTTTAAAACTGTATGTTTGTAGGAAGTGTTGACATTTGAATTTTTGATTTTTTTTTTTATATTTATGCTTGTGAAGACTTATTTCATCGAATTGAAAGGAGTTCTGTTCTCAAATAAAAATAAAAATATATAAAAATAAAAAAAACCCTATAATCCATAAATATTTAACAAATAAAAATATTTTTACTGTACATTATTTTACACTTTTTCAATAAAGTTTTAAATTTTTTCAGTATATAATATGTTTTCTTGAAATACATTTTATATTGAATTTTTTTTTGGATTATTTATAAATTCTAAAAACTAATAAATGCCACTGAAAAAATTTTTTTTTTAAGTATTAGATACATTGATCATCCAGGTTATTTTTTAAAAATCCGGAAAATTGTTTGGGAAAAATATCCGGAATATAAGTGATGAGTGAAAAAATATCTGGAATATAAGTGATGAGTGAAAAAGCTTAAAAAACAATTATATTACAAAAATATATTCCTAAACTTGTATATGTATGGAAAACATTTTGGCTATCCGGAAAAAACTAAAAGTTGAGAAAAATCCGGAATTCCGAAAATATCCGGAAAAAGATAATCCCTGTAAATAGGATAAAATATTTTTAGCTAAAAAGTTAATAGAAAAACTTCCAGCAAAGAAACTTGCAACTAAAGAGATAATTTAATACTATCTCTTTCTACAAATAGCAAAGCAAAAATGGTCATAGTAAGTTGTCCTAACAAAAGTTCTTTATATTAAAGTAATTGTACAGTTGATCAGTCAGATTGTTGCATACTGTCCAAATTAATGGTTCCTTGTATACTTGGTGGACTTAGACTGCTTTTAATACAAAAGCTAAGGTAATTTTTTCAATAAGTTCTAAATCACTTAATCTATGTTGAATCAATAATTACACTATTAAATAATATTTTTACAGGATTAAAATTGAGAAATTGCTGAAGGAGTGGATAAAATTGAAAGATCAAAGATATAAAACAAATCCTGCTGAAATTTGAGTAGCAAATAAATAAAATATTTTGGTTTGGAGAACTTCGTCATGTTATATTTGAGGACACGTTAAAAGATAAAATAAGAAAAGTGAAAAACAAAGAAGATATTGCTTTCTTAAAGACCAGCTCGGTGGAAGAAAAGAAAGTCTTGGATATAGAGATAAAATATATGAATATTCTGTAGTAAGAAGTAAAAGAAGTACATCAAATTCAAATAAAAATCTATCAGCAAAGTTATATAAGTTCTGCTAGTAACACTAACAACAAAATAGGCAAGGAAACAGATACTGATTTTGATTTTAATGAGTATCCTAATGTTTAAAATTCTGTTCACCTTCCTATGTATCCTAATGTTTAAAATTCTGTTCTCCTTCCTATGTATCCTAATGTTTAAAATTCTGTTCTCCTTCCTATGTATCCTAATGTTCAAAACTCTGTTCTCCTTGCTGAAATATTATCCAGTCAACCGTTCATACAGCAGTGGGTGAAGGTATAAAACCTTATCAACATACAACACTGATTAGTAGTGTCGTGGCTGGTGGTTCTGTAGCAAACTTTAATTGTTCTAAATCCATACCTTATAGAACTGCAGAGAACTTTAATAAAAAAAAAATTAGCATAAAAAATTGTATTATTATGGTATATGGGATATTGCTAATGATTGGTTTTTATCATATATAAAAAATCGTACTATGTTTGTCTTGATTATTTGGTTTCAATCCACAAATAAAATTGATAAGTATGGTGTCCCACATGGTTCTGTTTTAGAGCCTTCACTATTTTTAAATATATTAACAATCTGCCTCATTCTATAAATAATTTGGTTGCTCATCATTTTGCTGATGACATTAATCTTCTATGCATAAATAAATTACTTGAACAACTTTGTAAAAAAGTTAATTCAGATCTCCATCATTTGTGTGATTTGTTAAATACTAACAGCATTTCTCTAAATATCAATAAAACTGAGTTTATTATTTTTTACCCTCCAAAAAAGATTAATAATGAAAAAACATATCATGGTATAATCAACTAATTCAATTAAATAAAAAACTCTCACATGCTAATAGTATAATGCTATTAATACGACACTATGTTGCCCAACATATTCTAATATCAATTTACTATACCTTGTTCTCCTCCCATCTAAGCTATTTTTGCACTGATTGGGGTTAAAAGGTAGGTTTCTATTTTTTTTTAAATTTATTTCAACTCCCTCTCCAAGGCCATGAAGGCCACGTCAAGGAGGCTATATTTAGTTATGGTCACAACCCTCTCTCAACTCTATAACTCTGAAACATGAACCTTAATAAACAATGTCATTGCGCTGGGAAATAACTTGAACGGGGTACCAGGGACTTGGTGGGGATCAAACTCTGAACTTCTCGCTTATGAGGCAAGCGCTCTACCACTACACCACTACTGCATATTAAATCATATAAATATTTTACAATGTATTTCCATAAGAATTATGAAAATTTCTCCTTTACGATCGAATATCGGTTTTTTGGTTTACGATCGGTTTTTTGAATTCAAAATTCTAAAACTTCAAGAACTTGTAAAGTTTTATAATTGGCCCTTCGTGTTTGATTTTTTTTAAAATAAACTACCTAATTTGTTTAATAGTTTTTTTATCAAAATAAGGGTAATACTGATAATGTTAATTGACACACTTTCTTTTTTTAACACTATCAATACGGTATATATTTTCCTTTTAGCAGAGTTAATTTTTAGTTTTTTTTTCAAACTTTTCATGATTTTTGTATGAGTGATGAGTAAAAAAACTTATAAAACAAATATATTAAAAAAATACCTAAACTTGTATTTATGGAAAATGCTTTGGATATCCAGAAAAACTAAAAGTTGAAAAAAAAGATAATCCCTGATATATCTAATGAATATTACTTTTATCTTTTATTATTGTTTATTATATTACTGTATTATTAAAAACTAGCTAAGATCGGACCAGTAAATATCTTTGTAAGTCTATTCCAAACTTTTTTATACTTTTTCCTTATATATCCTAGCTTTCCAGATCTTTCCAGATTGTTTTTCTGATAAATGCACTTCATTGATAGCTCAGTGGTTAAGTGCGCTGTCATCTGTGTTGTTTTGTTTAAGACCTCCTCTTTGCGTAATATATATATAACTCCTATGAATTAATTCATAGGAGTTATATATATATGTTATCTGGCGCTCTAAAGGAAAACTATCACTTGAACGTCTTTGTAAACTGTACAGTAATTTGGCCATATCACCACGTTCCCTCATTCTTTATCTGCTAGGGCAAAAACTACCAAAGTATTTCTGAGAATAGAACTTGAAGCAGCTGGAGAGGCAAGTAGATTCCTTCTTAAAACCTTTTTATTTACCTGTAAGCTTTCATATCCTAATAATATTAATTAACATTTTGAATCACTTTAACCAAGAATGAGCTTTCTAGTTATTATTTTCTATTTAAGTTTATTTTAATTTCCTTTTTTGTTAGTTTTACTTTCTTTGTTTTTGAAACTTTTTCCAGCAACACATATAATAAAACTTGCAAACGGCAGAGACCAATTTGTATAAAATAAAATACATATACAAAGGATTATATAGCAATTATTATTATTATTTTAATTATATATATATATATATATATATATATATATATATATATATATATATATATATATATATATATATATATATATATATATATATATATATACATACACACACATGCTGTTTGCGTAATTCTGGCCCACAATTTTGTGGTTGGAGCACTTAGGCATGATTTTGAGCACTTTGAAATGATATATTATAACAAGATGTTAAGTCTCTAATACTATGGATATCATGTGGCAAACTTTATTAAAAAAATAATTAATGAAATAAAAATATAAACTTGGAGCCACTTTGTACTTTACAAAACTTTTTTAAAAAATTTTTAGTTTCTGTAAAGTTTTAAAGTTTTTTATTTTTTTTTACAAATGAAAAGTAACTTTAAAGTTACAAAGAATATCTTTTTACATGCGTCACTTTTTTTTAAGTCATGAAAAAAAATAATAATTAAGTGCAAACAACTCTAATATACCAGGTTAAAAAAATAAGACAATTATTTAAAAAACAAATTACTACTTTATTAAATGAATCATACTTATATTTGTTCCTGCCATAGACCCTGAAGTGTCAATAACAATTACAACATCTTTTGGACTTGCAGAACTCATTTGATACCAAACACGATTTCTGCAATCATATAAATCTGGTCCAGTCTTATTATAACCATTTAAATTCCCTGGAAACATTCGCAAAAAGCCTAAAAACAATAATAATTATTGAGCAAAATTTTTACAATACATTTTAAATAAAATAGAAAAATAAACTAAGTATAGATAAAATTATATGAAAATATATTATAAATAAAATATGAAAATGTGTGTAAATGATTTATAACATATATTATCCACAATTATAACATTCACATTATTATAGTCTATAAATATATAATTCATATTTACATACATAAAATATATTACACACATAATATGTGTATATTATATTACAATATACTATTACGTGTGTATAGTTTATACACATATAATAATATATTATACATATACAATATAAATATATACAGATACAAATTATATACATTAAACACTCAATATATTATATGTGTATATGCATTATGTATATACACATGAATATTATTTATGTGTTTTTTATGGTGTGTATATGCAAATGTCTAAATGATTATTACGAATATAAAGTAAATGAATATATTATATAAATAATTTTCATGAACAACCTGTTGCCGAAAAATAATAATTGTACAGTTTCTGTAAAAGAAACAAGTGAGTGGTTAGATTTTTATTACAGACTGAGTATAAAATTTTTTATTATATGATCTTTTTTGCTTTTATAAAATTGTAGCAAGTATCTCAAAAATATTTTACAAAAATGCAGAGCATGATTTTTTAATAATCCATATGCTAAAGAAGCTCAACCGAACATAAAAAGTTGGCTTATGAAATACCAAATGGCAATATTTAAAAGAAATTGTAAACTATTGAATAGATATTATTCCCCTTTGATTTTGACATAAGAATTAGTAATTTTACTTCATAAGATCATAATAGGTTGGAGACATTTATTTTGAAAACAATGCAAAATTTTTACAGGAATAGTCTACAAAATCTTTTTGTTAAACTTTTCATCAACAAAATTGCTAATCAATGAATCTAAATCATATTTACTTGATAATAATGCAAATTATTATTTTTTTGTAACTTATTTGATTAGATCGAAAATCGTTTTTTGTTGATTTTAATTTTGAAAATTACCTCTCTCCAAAACAAGTGTTAATATTTTGATGGATATCATAAAACATATGAAAATTATATGAATGATTGGAGTATTTGGAAAAGCAGTTTCCATTTTTTTTTCCTTAACAAAAGTTAACTTTTAGCCAGAGCTTTAGCTTTTGTTTTGAAACATTAGCTATTATTGATTGCGACTCACAAGCAATAAAAGAGAATGTTTCTCACAACTTGTGATGCTCCCATCCACTGATCTTAAAATATTATGAGATCAATGGCTTCCATCATTTTGTTGTAGTTCTGGTGAATAGTTTTAACCGGAGTCAATATGAGTGCTTGATCGAGTTTTTAAATTAATTCCCTCTATGCAACAATCAACAGCCTCTCTTAATAAGCTAACAGACCTGAACATGAGAAGAATTTTGCCAGCATATTAAACTCGTGTTGAATCTACTGATAACCCATATGACTTCAATTTTATAACATCGTTACTGATTGATCAAAAATCAGCAACAATATTTTAAAATTGAAGTAATATGAATTATTAGTAGATTCAATATGAGATCATTATATTGGCAAAATTCTCATGAAAAAACTCAATCGAGCGCTTATGCTGACTCGGATTTAAAAAAGTATTTTTAAAATTTAAAAATATATTTTTTTTAAAAAAGTTTTAATTTAATCCTTTACTTGGCAAATTATTAAAAAAATCTCAAAATTTTTTTTTTTTCTGTTTATGAGCTAATTTGGATGTAAAAATAAATTTATTTATATATATATATATATATATATATATATATATATATATATATATATATATATATATAAAAATTGTGAAAATTTAGACCTAAACTTGAAATGATTCCAAATGGCATCAGTGCCAAGTAACAGTAAAACCAATCATAAGGAAATCAAACACTTTTAAAAATTTAATCTTTTATTTTTTTAAATGAAAGTCTTGAAAACAATTTCGATCAGCAATTCAACATAAATAAACTTTACATTTTTCACACTGAATCCTAACATAAGCTTTACAGACATAACAATGTTGTTTCGTTTCTGAAGGCAATGGCCATTGGCTATTGCCTTCAAAATTGATCAGAATTGATCGTATCTTGATTCATCGTAAGGTGTTGCAACTACTTACTGTTGGTTGCATACTTTTTTGTTTTGCTGGACGACCTGGAACCATGTACAAATTTACTTGATTATGTTTGATAAGAGTGTCTGCTAGCTCAAATGAAAATAACTGCAGAGATTGTTGTGTTCATTTCAGTACACAATGTTGATCTTGATGAAAACGGTACAAAATCCAACCATTAACCTTGGCAACATTCACTTAGTGCCAGAAAATTTTATATACCATCTACATGTTTTTTACTTTTATTCTGTAGAGTGATACCAACATATCTATAAGTCAACACCACCCATACTCAGATTGTAAGACTTCACAATTGGCTCAATTCCAGTATAATATGACGTTGTTTGCATTGTGCTATTGTCTACCCATTTCACTATAATAATGCCAGAGTTATTATCAAAACGGTAATCTAATGCACCACGACCTTCTTTTTTGATAACTTTATTTGACATAAGGGAGATTCCATGTGAAAACATCCAGGGCATGCAACCCTAAGTCTCAGATTTTGCTGATTTTTAAACCACTTAAAGATTTTAGTAAATTATAAACATCCTGAAAATTTTATTGTCTAATTTCAATCGGTTCCTAAGATATAGCTATTTTAAGTTTGCCTCCAACCAACAAAAATCCGCCATTTTTAAAAATGGTTTTGGTCGTAGTTTCTGTTATATGTGTGTTGGAAAGCTGAAAATTTGTACCTTTACATATTTTGGGCCAACAAATCCAATAAAACAGCTTAAAATATTTAAAAACAAGCATAACACCTAAAATTTGAACGTTTACCACAATTTTACTGGGGCGAGTCCGATCACAAAATTGCAGATGTAGCTCGATTTTTTTTTTTTTTTTTTTAGAAGTTGTTCTGAATAGTTAAGCTATAGTTACTACAAAGAATTGGAGAGTGGTCTTTTCTAAAACAGAAATAAAAATATGGTCAAATCTACTTAAATTTATTGCTTAAAAAACAGGTATTTTGATAAATTAAACTATACAAAAAGATGTGATAATTTGACAGTTCTGAAGCTGAAACAGTTTTGGCTATATCGAAATGTTTTTTTAGATGTTGTTGAATTGCTGTTTCTATTTTTTTAGTAGTTTTATGATTTAGAAATGTTTATAAGGTTGTAAAATTAAAGTTAAAATGCTTACTAATTAAGTTTAAATTTCTAATCCTAAACAACCTTGACCCCATGAACACATTGAATGAATCATAGATTTTTCTTGCATCTTTTTTAGAAATAATAATAGTATATTGATAAAATGGAATCTTGTGGGTTTGGAGAAGTTTTAAAAGACGAATGTCACAAAATATGTTTTGTTCGAAAACAAGGATTAAAAGATTTTTGTGATCTAGAAAAGGACTTTCAAGATACTTATATTTGGAGGTCTGGTTTGCTTGAGACTACATCATACAAAGAGATAAAGTCTATTTGTTATCACCATGAGCAGGTTTTTGGACCGATATTTCTACTAAAGAATGATAAGTGTTGCGATGTTTTAAAAAGACACAAAAAGAAGGTTAAAAGTAATATATATATTTTTTGATAATTCACCTCCTCAAGGCCGAGAAGGCCACTACAGACGAGGAGGCTACTTATTTATGGTTATAACCCTCTCTTGACTCTACAACTCCGAAACACGAACCTTGACAAATAAGGCAGCTGTACGGAGAAACAAGTTGAGTGCGGTACTACCAGGGACGTGGTGGGGATCGAACTCGGAACCTCTCGCTTATGAACCGAGCGGTCTACCACTACACAACTACCGCATATATATATAATTATTTATTATATATTAACTTATATATATATATTACATAAATTAATATATTATAATATATATATATATATATATATAATATATAAATTAATATAATATAATACAATATATATATATATATATATATATATATATATATATATATATATATATATATATATATATATATATATATGTATATATATATATATATATAATTTAGAAGCAGGGTATGTTTATTTAAAATTAATGATTTTATTTTAGGTCAAACAACCATATCTCTTGAAATGGCTCATAACCTTAAATCCAAAAATCTAGACTGTAAACCAGGATGAAAATTTTGTCGCTCATGTATTCAGTTTTTGTCAAATCGCGATGAAGTTTCTGATAATGAAATGGATAGTGAAATTGATGGCGATGTATTATTTGTTAAAGATAAATCTTGTAATAAACAACAGTTAGACAACTCTTTAATATCAATTGGAGTCTCACCAATTAAAGTTCATGGTGTCGCAAAGCATCAACGAGTTGTAACAGCAAAAAGAAAATTAGTCAAAGCCTACACAAAAATGGAAGGTGTAGCAAGTGCTTATGGAGTAAATATAAATAACTTAAGTGTAGCCTCGACTTTTTCCAGTCAATCTATGGATAAAAAAAAAGCAAATGATGTTGATCATTTGACAACTTTAATGAAAGAAAAACTTAAAGTTGAACCATTTAGAAAAAAAAATTCAAATATTAACACTTACACCTGAATCTTGGTCTAGAAAATACGCTTCAGAATATTTTGAAGTTTCTGAACATCTTATATGACGTGCTAGGAAACTTAAAAGTGAAAATGGAATTCTTGCTATACCTGATAAGAAAATAGGCCAAAAAATACCTGACTTTCTTACAGCTTTGGTTCAAGATTTTTTTCAACAAGATGAATATTCTAGAATTATGCCTGGTAAAAAAGATTGTGTTAAAGTTAAAAGTGGTCCTCCACAACAAAAAAGATTATTATTGTGCAACCTTCATGAGCTTTATATTGATTTTAAAAGTAAATACCCTAATTGTAAAATAGGATTTTCAAAGTTTTGTAGTTTGCATCCAAAA